TAGCCAAGGTTTTATGCCGGAACTCGGCACGTTGCTGATCTTGGCCATACCAATCCAAATCATGTTCTTTGTGTGAGCCACAAGTACATCTCCATAAGTTTAGCGGTATATGAGGACAAGATGTAGCAACTTGTATATAAGAACCACTGGGATATTTACTGGAGCGATCAAACTTGATACCGAAATGACAAAGTCTCATTCGTATGATGCTCAGCTTCAAATCTTCGATAACATCTTTGATCGGACCCTGTTTCCAGAAATACCCGGGTGGCCCCAGGATGACAATCTGCATTCTCAGAGCACGCGCTTTGATCAGGAGATTTTGTATACGTTGATAGTGGGGTCCCGCCCTCTTTCCTGGAGTACGAACGCACCAATCAGAGGGTGTGGCCACCCACAACATATTATAGTCTCCTGCCAACAAGTTTCCCAAATACTGTGTTCCAGTTGAAGTCATTACCTCATTATGGGTAATCCGGTCACATATATAGCCACGGGATCGGAGTTCAGCGCAAGCTGTGCGAATATCTTCGATGACGAGACATTTTGAATGATATTTTTCCTCTCGGGCCTCAGCGCGGCCAACGTATGTAGCGAGGAGGCCGGCATTCGACTTCTCTTCGCAAGCGAGCGCCGCCGGCGCGCCCGCCTGCCCCCGTCAGCGGCTGTCGTGAGACCAAGTTGCCGCTTGACTCGGAGGCGTGCTGTTTGCGGATGGCTCCGCAGGAGTCGCTGGTGTGGCCACGCTCGCAGACAGACTCGGCGGGTTGTTCTCAGAGATGTCAAAGTATTCCGTCCGATCCGTAGCGTGACCCACGATCTCCGCTCTCTCACCTCGCTGGGTGATGGCTTCGAGAGTGTCCATCAGCTCGCGGTTCGTCATCCCGCGGACGTCCTCAGACGACAGCAGGCGGGTTGGCCCCGCAGAGTCCGACGAACCTCCGCCCGTGTAGCTTGGTGGCGGTGGCGGTGACGCGGGTGGCCCCGCTGGATGCAGAGGGGTAAACTCCTCAGGCGTCCATTTGCTCACCGCCTCCTGGACTGCCCAGAAGATCTTGGACTTCAGGGCGGCCTTCATGTGTGGCCGTATCATCGCCGCGTTCTCAGGAGGTGGGTGCCAAGTCCCTTCGGGACACTGTCGGCCCTCCCACCAGCTGTTCAGCGTCCTGTTCACGATCAAACGGGTCGTGTCCTCCAGGAGCTGCTTGTCGATATACGGCTCGACGATGTACGTATCGGTCGTGAAGGTCGATGTCCAGCTGTTGGTAGATGTACGAACGAAGTCCTCGTGCCTATTTGGATTGGCGAACTGTCCCGTCGCGGGTGGCCCCGCTGACGCGTCAGCGGGTGGCCCCGCCGCAGCGGGTGGGCCCGCACTGGCGGGGTCCTCTTCGTTCTCCGTCTCGGTGTAGCCATCTCGACTGCTGCGGATCGTGAAGGTGTTCGTGACCGCGTGGCTCTTGGCCCCATCGTACAGCCCGCAGGGAATCGCGAGATGTCCCGAGGGAGTCTTCTTCGCCTTCAGGACCTTGGCGCCTCTTCCCAGCTTCAGGGTGTAGTCGCCGCTGGGGAAGATGACCTTCTGGTAGCCCGGCTTCAACACGATGATCGTATCACGTGCCTCCATGGCCCCTAGGCCCCAGATAGCCGGGAGATTGGCGCCCGAGCCTTCTGCGATGTTGGAGGCATACTCCTCAATGCGGGGGCTCGCCTCGTTGGCGTACTGTACCCCAATCTTGAAGTTGCCCATCTTCCGACATATCGCAGCGCCCTCCCCAACACCATTGATGTAGAGGGTCTTGCTCAGGGTGCAGATGGCAGGTCGGTAGTTGAACCTGGCCATTATCTGCTGGAAGGTCCGCGCCGTGTTGGATCCAATGATGTTCACATTAGAACCAATGTCCAGCATGAACGAGATACAGGGCATGCCATCTTCATCAGGAAAGAATGTCCCATTGCGCGCTGCAAGAGCGACCTGTACGCCAGTGTGGTCGTTGGTGTGGTACGTGATCTGCGATCTGAGTGTACCCCTCAACAGGCGCTGTTCAAGAACCCATTGAGTCATGGTCAGCTCGGTGCACCACATCTGCTCGTACTGGCGGCGCTCCTCCACAGTAACCGGTTCCTGCTGGAGGACCCAATAGTTTGCAGATAGCGTGGACATCCATTCGCCTCTTGGTGGCAGCGTGTCAGTATCGTCACGCACGTAGGTCAGCCCCTCTGTGTCGATCATGAATGTGGAATGGAACTGGGCTGCCTCTGCGCTCTCAGCGCTTGCCCGGCTTCTGGCGCTGACCGGGCTTGCCACTCGAGAGGTCCTGGTCGATCCAGTTGGCCTCCGAATCCCGCCTCCGCTCCTGCCACTCCGCCTGATGTTAGCCTCCATGTTCCTCAAGAAACCTGGGTTTGGAGGTCCGTTAGCGGGTGGCCCCGCTTGAGCGGCGGGAGCCGCTTCAGCGGGTGGCCCCGCAGCTGGGGGCTCTTGCGCTCGGAGCGTGGGCAAGACCGGCATCTGAATGCCTTGTTCTGGCGCTGGCCAGGGGTATGCCTGTGCAGCTGGGGCACGTGCGGATGGCTCCGCCGATCGTGCGGCTCGAGCCTCCAGTGCCTCCACTGCTTCGCGTAACCGACGCATCTCGCGGGCATCTGCAACGTACCTCTCCTGCTGGCGCGCTTGGTCCGACTCCGCATCGCGCTGTCCAGCATACGGGAAGTGTGCTATCACTATGCCCGGTCCACGGCATACGGCACAGGGGGCCTCATTCGGCGCACCTGGCCGCTGATTGCGGACATGCTGCTGTGCAACACGGTCCCAGCATATGTCGTGGAAGAAGTGCCCGCGCGCCAGTCTCCATACTGTAGTGCCCATCTCGTAGTTGTCCATGCAGATTGGGCACTGAGTGAAGTTGTAGTCTGAGATGACTGGAGCAGGCACGTCAGGGCGAGTCCGAGCTTGGCGCTCGAACGTGGTTTCGCCCTCCCGATATGGCGTCGGTGGCGGCCGCCTTTCTGGCCGTTCAGCAGGTGGCCCCGCTTCCGCGGGTGGCCCCGCTTGGGCCTCGCGCTCAATCCTTCTCTGGATCGCGCGTTGTTGGCGCAGCCTAGTGTTGTCACGAGCCTGCTGCCTGGATGCCAGTATCGCTTGCTGCGTGTTGTGCACGTCGCGGATGTAGTCTGGCACGCTGCCCATAGCGGCTGGCACCGCGAGACCAGCTGGCTGGACTATGGTCTCGGGGTCCGTCGGCGTGGGCATGTAGGCGTAGTGTGGCATAGACTGCGCATCGACCGCTCGTGTAAACTGCAAACGAAACATCTCATTAGCTAAGTTCCGAGTGTATTCGTTCGCAGGTGGCCCCGCAATCATAGGAGTGTCATTTATCTGCGCGTAGTACTCAGGGTACATCGGCGCGTCCATGGCCGGCGCCTCTGCTGGACCGTGATTGTCCCATCCGTATATCGGGTGTGATGCTATTCCTGGAATAAACACCTGTCGATATGGATTCGTGGGATCAGCGTTTGGAGCATCTTCAGAAGTCCAACTCCAGAGAGGTCGGAAGTCGCCATGGCTTGTGACGTCTATGTTGCGGTTCCGCAACAGGCTGGGCACTCTTTCAGCTTGTTGTTGCAGAAAAGTAGCCTGTGCTCTTAAGTTGGCTGCCCGACGCTCGTAGTCTGAACCTTGCTGTCCGTCAGCGGGTGACCCCGCTTGAGCGGGTGGCTCCGCAGGCGTTCGCCCAGCGGGTGACCCCGCAGCCGCTCCTCCTTCACTACCCCTCGGAGTGCCAAAGGGAGTGGTTGCTTGGAGTGCTGCCGCGAGTGCTGGATTTCCGCGAATCGCCTGGAGTCTTTGCCACAAGCTGTTCTCGCTCGTTTCAGACGGCGGAGTCCGGAACGGCGAGCCACCATCGGAGCCGCCCATAGGGACAAACCTCGCACCTCCAGCCTGCTGCGGAGGGCGTTGTGGCTGTGGTCCTAGGGCGCCTGGTGGCCCCGCAGGAGTGCGCAGGTTCCTCTGCTGTGCGTCTTGGATACCTGCCTGCACTGCCCACGGGTCAGCACGGTATAGCTGATCGGTCAGTCCAGAAACGTCGGCTGGTGACAGGTAGCTGTTGAGGGCCTGGACCCATGTCTGCTGGTCCGGCCTCCAAGGAGATGCTACTGCGGCTACTGGCGTGACCACTTGCTGCCATGAACCATCCGAGGTGTCTGCCGCGGGTGTCCCCGCTCCTGCGGGTGGCCCCGCCTCAGGCATGACCTCGTCTTCCTGGGCGTTTATCATGAGGACTGTCTGTGTGAGGTACGGTCGTGGAGCAACGTCTTGCTCGGTCATGGTCAGGTTGAATGGGCGACCGCCCGTCTTAGTCCAGCCCTTTAGGTACATGGCGTGCTCGTCCATCACACCCAGAACTCTGTTGCACATTTTAAGTGGCAAGTAGTCCTCGGAGCAAATCCTGTCCGCGGGTTGGCCCCGCTTCCGCGATTTGTCGTAAGCCAGCGGATTGCACCAGGCTTCACCGACCCGATATTTTGCAATGCTCACAATCTGAAAGATATGATCGGGCGGTATGCGGCAATTGTGGCCCCGTGTCATGACGATGTCATTCGCTGACCTCCATAAAGAGAAGCCGCTGGACAACATCTTGCTGATGCTGCAGAAGATGAGCACCTCAGGAGTCAGGACGGATGCCCGACTGAATCCTCGGGTCACCCGGGAGGTAGGGGCAGCCGTGAACGAACTGGCGCCCCCCCTGCCCCTTAGGGTTGTCCTGTGTGAGGCATGAAAGGCCATTCTCAAGGATGCCCTTAACATGCTCCCACTGTGTCCCGTGGATAAAGTAGACTGGGTCATCTGGTTCCTTCATCCATGTCGTGATGGGCTTATAGAGCGACTCTGGGCAGTGGATGCCTGGGCTGCTATGGCCGCTCGTGGCTCTGATGAAAGATTGTGGCCTGTGTGCCTTTGGTCGGAATCTGGGAGGTAGCGTCATGCTATCCTCGACGCATTTCATCTGGAGCCTGCCCTTCTGCATGCCATGGTTGTCGATCATCTCGCAGCAGTTCAGCAACACCCAATACACGTCTGAGCTGTGAGGGTTGCCCTTGATAAGCACATCGCGCATGTCCTGGTAGCCTTTCCACTGATTGTCACCAGTCCAATTTGCCAGCAAGTCGTCAACAACAACCCAGCCATCGCATGGATCGAAAGTGTCATATCTTTTCGAAGTGTCGGCTGAATCCACCTTTCCAATACGGACCATGGCGTAGGGCTGTAGAGAACCATATTGACACCTTGGCCATTTGCCAATCGCGCGGCAGAGTCGGATCTGTGTTGAACCTCTTCATGACATTCATGAGCTCTGCCTTGTGCTGCGCGACGCGCAATGGCGGCCTGTCCCGCAACATATTGCCCACGACTTGTTGTTCACGTTCCCATTCGTTACGGCACTCGAAGTTACGACGATCGGGGCAATCGATGACCGCGTATCGATCTGTATCATCTCGAGTGACTCGTGGGTTTATGGTGCGTTTCGGGCCTTTGCCTTCAATGCCTTGCCAATATTCAATGGCTCCCAGAGGGATGTTCTTGAGAACAGACGACGCTGGTTGCCGACGTGCGGGTGGCCCCGCTGCTGCAGCTGACGCCGCTGCGGCTGCCGAGGCAGCTCCAGCGGATGACCCCGCACCAGGGCGCGGGTGACCTAGGTCAGCCAGCGCATCGTCGGCTAGTTTCTGTCGGTTGTCAATTTCTTTGAGGGCTTTGCGGCGTTCTTCTTCTGAGGGAGTGCCTTCTGCGGGTGCCCCCGCTGCTGCAGCTGGCGCCGCTTCAGCGGGTGGCCCCGCAGAGCCCTTGTCCCCCCTACCTTTGGCGGCTGCCTCTGCCCGCGCCGACCTCGACCCAGCCTCGGGCTTCGGTTGTGCTTTCATTCGTGCCGAGCCTGGTCGCGGTGCAAGGCGCGGCTGATGCAGAGTTGGAGTCCAGCCACCTCGGAAGGCTGCCTTAGGCTGGTCGCGATCTTCGTCCTTGACGTCGCCTTGGGCAGCCGGTGGCATCGGGGCTGATGGTCCAGCAAAAGCCTTCCTCCTCTCCGTCACGGACGGGCCGGTAGGCTCTCCCGGCTCAGGGTCGTCCTTCTTGGCGATCCCTCTGGCCTTCGCACGCCCCCGTGAACCTTCGGGGCTCTTGGAAGGAGACCTCTTCTCAGGAGAAGGTGGAGGCGAGGAGCCGACCACAGGTCCTGGAGGTGGTTCGATGTCTTCGTCGTCCTCTGGTGGTGGACCAGGAGGGTCTTTAGGAGGGCCTTCTGGCTGGCCATGATCATGGATGACCTGCCTCATCTGGTCGATGTTGGCACTACCTTTTATGGCCAGCTTGTACTTGCCAATTTCGTGGCGGTAAAGTACCCTCGTGCATAACCACTTCTGTGCCGAGGAGCTGTAGTACCAGCAGGCGCATCCATCAGGGAATGGATTCTCTGAGCCGTCTTCCGCCGCCCATTCTTCGTTCAGTTCGGTCTGGTCAGTACCGGCGGCGGATCCGGCAGCAGATGCAACAGCCATCCACTCTTCGTCCGCGGACCCAGCGGCTGGCGCCGCGCCCGCGGGTGGCCCCGCACCTCCGCTGGAGTCTGCGGGTGACCCCGCCTCTCCATGGAATCGGCGGTTCCATTCTTTGAGGCGATGGTCTTTAGGAAGCTGTTCCCAATTTTCCCTGGCAGTGTCAGCAACCTCCTCGGTCATAGGGGCGCGATCGGCTTCGGTAATGCGCTTTCCTCCTCCAGGGGCCTTCTTGTTAGGATCGTGGACGGTGCCAGCGTCGTCTCCATGAGACCAGTTCCAGGGGGCCTCACCGTGATGAGGGCTCCAGGAGGGGCGGTCCATTGGACAGCCGCGCATGTGACCTTTGAAAGGCTCGCATTGACACACTTGTTTCCTGTATGTCTTGCGATCGTTGATGATCTCCTGTTTCTTAGCCTTTCGGTCCCAAGCCTCTGGCGTTTTAGTCTTGCCACCTTTGGTGCGTATTATGATGCCAGATTCGTCCCGTTTGCAGTGCTCCTTGGACCACCAGTGGCGGATCACGTCCATCGGGTAGCCGGGGTACCAATTGATGTATCACTCCGGCACGTACTGAGCGGATGCACCTCTGGAGTGCTCCGTGCTGTACGGGTAGCCAGATGCATCATGTGCAGGGCGTCGTGGAGCTGAACGGCTCCTCCTGCGGGTTGGCCCCGCTGACGCACTGCCACGTTCCATGGGCCTTTCATCTTCATGACGGTGCTCTGGATCTCGAGGTGGCGATGGTCGTCTGTTCTTCTTTGCATTGCGCCTGTCCTCCGAGTCCTCTGAGCTGTCCTGGACCATGAATACGTGCTGATGCGGGCTTTGGAAGTACCCGATGTCGGTCAGCTGCTCCATAGTGAGGTCGTTGAGGTCCATCTGGTCGCAGCCCTGCATGAACTCGTCCATAGACCAAGCGGGTAGCCCCGCTGCTGCAGCTGGCGCCGCTTCAGCGGGTGGCCCCGCTAGGGCCTGGAGTGCGGTCAGCATCTGCGGTGCCGACATATCAGGATCCAGGTATGGACGCAGCCTTGCGGCCCCTGGGCGCGACAGCAGGTCGTTCATGGTCATCTGCTGATGTGCTGGCGCACTCAGGAGCTGGATCGCTTCTGCGACCTGCTCTTGGAACCTGTCCTCATAGTCCTCTTCGGCCTCTTCAGAGTCAGAATAAGCTGCGGGATGGCCCCGCATTTCGTCGTCAGCGTCTCCCGCTTCCGAGCCGGCTCGCGAAAGATCAGGCAGCAACGGCATGCCGATCACCTGCGGTGCCAGCGCGGCGGCGAGCTCCTCCTCGGTCGCCGGGACGGTCTCAGCTTCGGAGATCTCGTTGTCGGCGGGTGGCCCCGCTGGAAGACCGAACCAGGCGTTGAACGCGCCCTCGTCGACTTCGTCCCAGCCGTGGAACTCGTCGAAGAGGGTCACCGCGCACTCTTCCAGGGCTACGGTCGCATCAGCGTAGCGGGCCATCACGTAGTACGTGGAGGAGCCCGCGGCGGGAGCCGCTTCTGGATTGACGTAAAACTCGTAGTCAATGTAGTCTATGTCATCCATAAAAGAGTTTTGAGCCAAATGCACGGATCCCTTTCCTTTCCCCTTCGGGCAATGATCGCGCAAATGCTCTGTACTACCGCATGTATGACACTTCATAGTGTTGCCAGAAGCGTCCCTAGGGTTACCCCTCCGCCCTTTTCCCTTACCAGAGGTCCGCCTGCGACCCCGACCTTTGCCTCCGATAAGAACTTCTTCAAAAACTACATCAGTTAAGGACGTGAGGAAAGCAGTGATACCCCTACCATGCATACGGCGTCTGCGACCCCCTTTGCCACGACCCTTTCCATAGCGTTTGAAATATCGGCGTACTGCACGTCTCACTTTTCTGACCGGTTTCTTCATAATGCGCCTCCAACGGCGTTTTGATTTGCGATAAGCCATAAAAGCGGCTTCCGCTCTTTGTTGTTCAGAAAGGTGAGTGTCATCAGCTGGATAGTCATTGCCAGCAGAGACCATGCCATTGTGATCACCGTCAGATGAGGTATCTGTGTCAGTGCCAGATTCAAACGGAGAGGGTGGCTGAGACCCTTGAGCGGATGACTCCGCTTGGCCCCAGAGGGTTGTGCCCGAGGGCGGGCTTGCAGTGTAGGCGGCGCCCGGCGTGTAGTTCGACCAGGCGTTCGCCTCCGCTGCCTCTGCCGATGCCTGGCCGGTCTGCCCTAAGAGGGCAGTGGCCTCGTTGGGCATATCGGCTGAATCAGCCCAGGGACTTGGCTCGCCAGGACCAGCGGGTGACCCCGCAGTCGTGGCGTAGACACCTGCATGTGCGTGGTGCCCTGTGAAGATGCCCGCAATGTTGCCAGGAGAGCGCTCGGCAACATGCCCGTAGTTCCTCATCCTGGTCAGCAGCCTATCATAGTCTGCTTGCGTTCTGGGCATCTGATGATTGAAGGGCTCCAGCAGGTGTTGGGCTCGTGACGCGCCAACGCCTAACGCTCTGAAAAGGATCAGCGTTAGGACCTGAAAGTTGGGGATGACAAATCCAACAGAGTTAGCCTCGTCACGGGCCATCTCGAATCGAGCTAACACTGAGTCGATTCGCTCGCCCCTTTCGACGCGAAAGTCGATAAGGGCAGTGCCAGAGTTGAGCTGGCGCTCATCTTCCAGATTTTCAAATTTGGTACTCAATAGATAAAGTATATAAGTAACTGCATCCGTTGGCTGTCCGTTGACATTTACACCATAATTGATGATCTGGGAGGGGACCTGCATGGCGATACGACGAGCAAGGCCTTGAAGACCACGTTGTAGTGCTGCAGCTTGCTGAGGTGGCGTCATATTGCCGCTCGTCACGTTGATCCATGCATGTACTTCGCGAACGTACTCGCGAAAGGGCGTAGTACCGGCTGGGTCCCAAGAAGGGCCGGTAGTACGCGTGTCGTCCATCCCCTGCCGCATGTAGCCCACAGCACATCCCATTATCACCCATAGAATGCCGAATATAGTTATCTTGATCCAGTGCATGTGCATCTCGGCTTCGGTGATTGGTTTAGGCTGTGGTTTGTCAGGCTCGGGCGTAGTAGCCGTAAGGCGCCTGACCGGCACGGGATGCAGGTGGCCCCGCTGCGGGTAGCCCCGCAGAGTGACCACGTTCTCGATCGAGTTGCCGATTGGCATCTGGTGGAAGTCGGGAGTGAAGTAGCGCAGTGAGGTAGGAGAGAGCGTCTCGAGCTCGCGGGTCGCCCCGCTAGCCCGATCGCGGACTGGCTCCGCTCCTCGCAGAGCCGGCGCAACATGGTATTCCACCGTAGTAGTAGTCCACCAAGTTGTGCCGTGGATGATGGGTATTAGAGCGAGAGCCAGCCACACGAGAGTGTAGCCAGCTCCGCTACCAAGTCGAAAACGCACTGGTAAGCCAAGATATATGTTCCGCCTTAGGCGCTCCCATATCCCAGGCTTTGGCTCATACCGCATGAGCAAGAGAGCAAGATGAAGCATGGGATCTGGAGTAAATGATAGAAGGGGCATCTTCAATAGAAAGGTCTTTTCCGATCTCAGATGCGAGTAGTGCGCCTCGGTGAGGCACAATCACATGTTTGGCCGGGCCCGGCTTGAGCCAGGCACGGCAGCGGTGCATGCTCGATTTACATCTCGCCTTTAACCCTCTCCGTTTAAAGTAGGTATCTCCATGATGCCAGCCGACGGGCTGGTGGGGACCCGCGAAGCGGTAAGAATTTACACGACGCCGATGTGAACAATTCGTGCTGGCACTGGCGATCGCACAGAGCTGGCGGTCGCAAAACCCGCATACAATGGAAAACGTGCTGTGTAACATAATGCTCGGGGCCCATTTGACCTCCGATAAGGCCCCCAAAGGTTAAACGAACAAATTGACTCCAGCACCATTTGGCTCTTGTTCCCAGGCGGCTCCCAAGATGGCCCGAGGGGCGCCCAAGACAGCTCCAAGGGACCCCAAGGAGCCCTCCACGAGGGCCCGAGGGGGCCCTCTTGGACGACCCGGGGAGATCCCAAGAGGTCCCAGAGACGCCTCTAAGACACCCCATGAGACCTCGAAATGGCACCAAGACGGCCTAAGATGCTGCTCCGGCAGCGCAGGCCGCGAAGGACCCCCACAGGCCCCGAGGAGGGCTCCCCACAGCTCAAAACGTCTCCAAGACTGCAGAAGAGGCGACCCAGACTACCCAGAAAGGTCCCAAGAGGCATGCGAGGGCCTCCAACATTACCGAATAGACCAAAGAGACTCTCGCGGAACCATCGAGAAGGGTGCAACATGGCGTGTCCCTGCCTCAAGATCTTCCCGCGCCTCTTCCTGTAGACCTCCTCGGGGGCATGTGGACCCTTGTTGGGGGGTCTCTCTGGGCATCTCTTGTGTCCGCTAAATTGGGGCTCACCTGGGGGTGGCTTGGGGCATCCCTTTGGTGGCGTGTGATGTGTGTTTCCGCCAGCTCTCATCTTGGAGTCTTCGGCTCGAGCTCTTCGGCCCTGGCTCTCTTGGCCATGACAGAAAATGGGAAAGAAGCCTGAGATGGCAAGGCCTGTCGCATGTGGACAGGGGGTCCCGGGTAGCGCGCCGCTCTCCATCATGGCCCGTTTGTCTGCCATCAAGCCGGCAATAGCTCAAGTCATCACGCCACGGCGCCCAGCACCACGAACAGCATGGCCGCAGCGCTCAGGCAAGCAGAGGAGACGCTCAGCGAAAGCTCAATGGTGGTGCTCACGGTTGTCTCCGTAACACTCGTAATGGTGGTGGTGTGCGGCGAGGTTGTCGTCTCCGTGACAGTGGTGGTGTGCGGGGAGGTCGTGGATGTACCCGTCGTGGCGGTAGTGCCGCTACTGCTGAGAGTCTGACTGGTACCAGACGTGTCACTCCAAGTCATTGTGCGGGTGCTGGTATGAGTGTCCGTCGAGGTTTGGGTCGTGGTAGTCTCGGCCATGTTGAGAGCCACACAAGCAGCGCCCCCAGCTCCGTCGTCTGAGTAGCACATCGAGGTGGCCTGCGCGGAAAGACCAACGAGCGAGAAATACTCAGTCTGGTCGTTGACCACATTCGCAGGCCCACACGAGAGCTCACCGCCGTCGACACTCAACACCTTGCACGTAGCAGGGCCAGCTTGGCCATTCACGTCTGCCAACTCTGCGTTGAGGTCGACGTAGCAGACGATTCCATTCTCATCGCTGAGAGTCGCGACCTGCAACGATGACGCATCGCTATCGCTCACTATGGTATAATTTGCGTTGAGGACCAGCATCTCTGATACCACCTGGTACGTCTTGCAAGCGGCGAAATTACCATTGTCCTCGCTGTCAGTGAAGCAAACCATGCCGTAGTCACCAATCGTGTTGGTCGTGATGGAGCCGAAATCTGCCTCATCCGATTCGAAGAAAGTGCTGGCCGTGCCAGGAACAGGAGCGCCGGTGTCATCCAAGAGTAGGCAGCGGGCAGAGCCTCCCTCGTTGTAGCACAGAACGACCATTTCCTCCGCCTCCAGCGGCTCAATAGCAATATGAGAGGCGCTCTGTCCGTCGGTGAAGCTCACCGGGTTGCCAGCATCCAGATCGGACCCGCTTACTAAGCTCAACTTGCTGCACTTGCCCTCCGCCGCAATGGCACACCCAGCGCATGAGTAGCAAACCACCCCTGAAGTAGATGCCATCTTCGCGACAGCCACGTAGGTAGAGCCGATTGACTCGTTGTCGATCTCGACGGACTTCTCGAGCGCCAGATCAGTGTCAGCGATGGACACTAGATTGCAGATCACATGTTGTGTGACGCCAGTGAAACAAACGATGACATCGTTCTCGCTGAACGCTGCCACGGAAATAGACTGTGGGACGACGGTAGCGTCCTCGAAGACGACATCCCCCAACTTCTCGATGGAACCGCCTACAATTTCCATCAAACTGCACTTACCGCGAGCGGATCCGTTGCCTGCGCTGTAGTCCGTGTAGCATGCAATGCTGCGGGTACCGCTGAGCTTGGCTTGTTTCAGTCCAGGCGAACCGCCCTCGTTAACCGACTCGCTCGCACTGGCGGTCACGTCGTACACAGCAGGCCCAGCCTGGGCAAGAGCCACCAAGAACGGCCAGAGAATCAGAGCTGCCATGGCACTAGATCGCGCTTCTTTACCAAACTCAACGATTGTTCAGCCAGGCTGCCGAGAACTTGAGCCAAACAGGCTGCGGGCACGGGGCAGAAATGTTCGGCCATCTCCTCGTACTCTTGAGGCTCCAGGAAGTCAATCGGAAGCCAAGCACGTTGCACTGACTAGCTTCCCTGAGCAGACAAACGAAACATTACACCATAAGCTTTGTTGGTTGTCCCCAGCCCTCCTGTGTTAGGTTCTCGTTGGGGATGGAGCACTGTGGTCCCCACCTCCTCTCCCGTCTCCCGTGTCCGCCCTGCCTCCTCCGGCCTCCTTCTGCGCTGCTCCCTAGGTGGAGGTATCCGATGCCACGCTCCCCCGATAAGGGCAGCTCCGCTGGGCATCGATCCTGGCTGGGCTGTTGTGGATACGCGAAGCGATAATTTAGCGATTTGCGAAACGCAGATGATCACAACTGGCGCTGGCGCTGGCGATCGCACAGCGCTGGCGATCGCAAAGTCCACATCCGACGTGTGAAACACATTGTACAACACGATGCTCGGGGCCCCCTGTGACCTCCAAGAAGGCTCCGAAACGCCCAAAGAGCAACTTGTTCCCGGCACCACCTGCCCCTTGTTTCCACGCGGCGTGCACGACGGTCTGAGAGGCGCCTAAGACGCCACCAGGAGGCTCCGACAACAGCCCAAGAGACCCCGAAGAGCCCTCCAGGAGGGACCCGTTCGACGGCGCTGGACAATCCCAAGAGACCTCCAAGACGCCTCTAAGACGGCCCATGAGACTTCGAAGGGGCCCCAAGACGGACCGAGATGCTCCTCAGACTGCGCAGGAGGGCCCCAAGAACCCCCAACGGCAGTCAGAGAAGATGACGCAGAACGACCAAGAGGCATGCGAGGGCCTCCGAAATTACCCAAGAAACGACCTTCGCGAAAACCTCGAGAAGGGTGCAACACTACTGTTTTCATGGCGTGGCTCTGTCACAAGATCTTCCCACTCTCCCTGTAGTTCTCATCGGAGGCATGCGGAGGCCCTTCTGGGGGTGACTTGGGGCATCCCTTTGGCGGTGTATGTGTTTCCGCCAGCTCTCATCTTGGAGTATCCGTCTCGAGCTCTTCGGCCCTGGCTCGTGTGGCCATGACAATAAATAGGAAAGAAGCCTGAGATGGCAAGGCCTGTCACATGTGGACAGGGGTTCCTAGCGCGCGGCTCTTCAGCATGGCCCATGGCCTGTTTGTCAGCCGTCCAGCCAGCCGTAGCTCAAGTCATCACGCCACGGCGCCCAGCACCACGAACAGCATGGCCGCAGCGCTCAGGCAAGCAGAGGGGACGCTCAGCGAAAGCTCAATGGTGGTGCTCACAGTGGTCTCCGTAACACTCGTAATGGTGGTGGTGTGCGGCGAGGTGGTCGTCTCCGTGACAGTGGTGGTGTGCGGGGAGGTCGTGGATGTACCCGTCGTGGCGGTGGTGCCGCTACTGCTGAGAGTCTGACTGGTACCAGACGTGTCACTCCAAGTCATTGTGCGGGTGCTGGTATGAGTGTCCGTCGAGGTTTGGGTCGTGGTAGTCTCGGCCATGTTGAGAGCCACACAAGCAGCGCCCCCAGCTCCATCGTCTGAGTAGCACATCGAGGTGGCCTGCGCGGAAAGACCAACAAGCGAGAAATACTCGGTCTGGTCGTTGACCACATTCGCAGGCCCACACGAGAGCTCACCGCCGTCGACACTCAACACCTTGCACGTAGCAGGGCCAGCTTGGCCATTCACGTCTGCCAACTCTGCGTTGAGGTCGACGTAGCAAACGATTCCATTCTCATCACTGAGGGTCGCGACCTGCAACGATGACGCATCGCTATCGCTCACTATGGTATAATTTGCGTTGAGGACCAGCATCTCTGATACTACCTGGTACGTCTTGCAAGCGGCGAAATTACCATTGTCCTCGCTGTCAGTGAAGCAAACCATGCCGTAGTCACCAATCGTGTTGGTCGTGATGGAGCCGAAATCTGCCTCATCCGATTCGAAGAATGTGCTGGCCGTGCCAGGAACAGGAGCGCCGGTGTCGTCCAAGAGTACACAGCGGGCAGAACCTCCCTCGTTGTAGCACAGAACGGCCATTTCCTCCGCCTCCAGCGGCTCAATCGCAATATGAGACGCGGTCTGTCCGTCGGTGAAGCTCACCGGGTTGCCAGCATCCAGATCGGACCCGCTTAAGCTCAACTTGCTGCACTTGCCCTCCGCCGCAATGGCACACCCAGCGCATGAGTAGCAAACCACCCCAGAAGTAGATGCCATCTTCGCGACAGCGACGTAGGTAGAGCCAATTGACTCGTTGTCGATCTCGACGGAGTTCTCGAGCGCCAGATCAGTGTCAGCGATGGACACTAGATTGCAGATCACATGTTGTGTGACGCCAGTGAAACAAACAATGACATCGTTCTCGCTGAACGCTGCCACCGAGATAGACTGTGGGACGACGGTAGCGTCCTCGAAAACGACATCCCCCAACTTCTCGATGGAACCGCCTACAATTTCCATCAAACTGCACTTACCGCGAGCGGATCCGTTGCCTGCGCTGTAGTCCGTGTAGCATGCAATGCTGCGGGTATCGCTGAGCTTGGCTTGCTTCAGTCCAGGCGAACCGCCCTCGTTAACAGACTCGCTCGCGCTGGCGGTCACGTCGTACACAGCCGGCCCAGCCTGGGCAAGAGCCACCAAGAACGGCCAGAGAATCAGAGCTGCCATGGCACTAGATCGCGGTTCTTTACCAAACCGAACGCTTGGTCAGCCAGGCTGCCGAGAACTTGAGCCAAAGAGGCTGCGGGCACGGGGCAGAAATGTTCGGCCATCTCCTCGTACTCTTGAGGCTCCAGGAAGTCAATCGGAAGCCAAGCACGTTGCACTGACTAGCTTCCCTGAGCAAACAAACGAAACATTACACCATAAGCGTTGCTGGTTGTCCCCAACCCTCCTGTGTTAGGTTCTCGCTTGGGATAGAGCACTGTGGTCCCCACCACCTCTCCCGTCCCCCGTTTCCGCCCTGCCTCCTCCTGCCTCCTTCTGCGCTGCTCCCTAGGTGGAGGTATCCGATGCCACGCTCCCCCGATTAGGGCAGCTCCCCTGGGCATCGATCCTGGCTGGGCTGTTGTGGATACGCGAAGCGTTAATCTACCGATTAGCAAAACGCAGATGTTCACAACTGGCGCTGGCGCTGGCGATCGCACAGCGCTGGCGATCGCAAAGTCCACATCCGACGTGTAAAACACATTGTACAACACAAAGCTTGGGGGCCCCTGTGACCTCCAAGAAGGCTCCGAAACGCCCAAAGCGCAACTTGTTCCCGGCACCACCTGCCCCTTGTTTCCACGCGGCGTCCACGACGGTCTGAGAGGCGCCTAAGACGCCACCAGGAGGCTCCGACAACAGCCCAAGAGACCCCGAAGAGCCCTCCAGGAGGGACCCTTTCGACGGCGCTGGACAATCCCAAGAGACCTCCAAGACGCCTCTAAGACGGCCCATGAGACTTCGAAGGGGCCCCAAGACGGACCAAGATGCTCCTCAGACTGCGCAGGAGGCCCCCAAGAACCCCCAACGGCCACTCAGAGAAGATGACGAAGAACGACCAAGAGGCATGCGAGGGCCTCCGAAATTACCCAAGAGACCGACCTTCGCACAAACCTCGAGAAGGGTGCAACACTACTGTTCTCATGGCGTGGCTCTGTCTCAAGATCTTCCAACTCTTCCTGTAATTCTCATCGGAGGCATGTGGAGGCCCTTCTGGGGGTGACTTGAGGCATCCCTTTGGCGGTGTATGTGTTTCCGCCAGCTCTCATCTTGGAGTATCCGTCCCGAGCTCTTCGGCTCTGGCTCTTGTGGCCATGACAGAAAATAGGAAAGAAGCCTGAGATGGCAAGGCCTGTCACATGTGGACAGGGGTTCCTAGCGCGCGGCTCTTCATCATGACCTGGTTGTCAGCCATCAAGCCGGCCGTAGCTCAAGTCATCACGCCACGGCGCCCAGCACCACGAACAGCATGGCCGCAGCGCTCAGGCAAGCAGAGGAGACGCTCAGCGAGAGCTCAATGGTGGTGCTCACAGTGGTCTCCGTAACACTCGTAATGGTGGTGGTGTGCGGCGAGGTGGTCGTCTCCGTGACAGTGGTGGTGTGCGGGGAGGTCGTGGATGTACCCGTCGTGGCGGTAGTGCCGCTGCTGCTGAGAGTCTGACTGGTACCAGACGTGTCACTCCAAGTCATTGTGCGGGTGCTGGTATGAGTGTCCGTCGAGGTTTGGGTCGTGGTAGTCTCGGCCATGTTGAGAGCCACACAAGCAGCGCCCCCAGCTCCGTCGTCTGAGTAGCACATCGAGGTGGCCTGCGCGGAAAGACCAACGAGCGAGAAATACTCAGTCTGGTCGTTGACCACATTCGCAGGCCCACACGAGAGCTCACCGCCGTCGACACTCAACACCTTGCACGTAGCAGGGCCAGCTTGGCCATTCACGTCTGCCAACTCTGCGTTGAGGTCGACGTAGCAGACGATTCCATTCTCATCACTGAGGGTCGCGACCTGCAACGATGACGCATCGCTATCGCTCACTATGGTATAATTTGCGTTGAGGACCAGCATCTCTGATACCACCTGGTACGTCTTGCAAGCGGCGAAATTACCATTGTCCTCGCTGTCAGTGAAGCAAACCATGCCGTAGTCACCAATCGTGTTGGTCGTGATGGAGCCGAAATCTGCCTCATCCGATTCGAAGAATGTGCTGGCCGTGCCAGGAACAGGAGCGCCGGTGTCGTCCAAGAGTACACAGCGGGCAGAACCTCCCTCGTTGTAGCACAGAACGGCCATTTCCTCCGCCTCCAGCGGCTCAATCGCAATATGAGACGCGGTCTGTCCGTCGGTGAAGCTCACCGGGTTGCCAGCATCCAGATCGGACCCGCTTAAGCTCAACTTGCTGCACTTGCCCTCCGCCGCAATGGCACACCCAGCGCATGAGTAGCAAACCACCCCAGAAGTAGATGCCATCTTCGCGACAGCGACGTAGGTAGAGCCAATTGACTCGTTGTCGATCTCGACGGAGTTCTCGAGCGCCAGATCAGTGTCAGCGATGGACACTAGATTGCAGATCACATGTTGTGTGACGCCAGTGAAACAAACAATGACATCGTTCTCGCTGAACGCTGCCACCGAGATAGACTGTGGGACGACGGTAGCGTCCTCGAAAACGACATCCCCCAACTTCTCGATGGAACCGCCTACAATTTCCATCAAACTGCACTTACCGCGAGCGGATCCGTTGCCTGCGCTGTAGTCCGTGTAGCATGCAATGCTGCGGGTACCGCTGAGCTTGGCTTGCTTCAATCCAGGCGAACCGCCCTCGTTAACAGACTCGCTCGCGCTGGCGGTCACGTCGTACACAGCCGGCCCAGCCTGGGCAAGGGCCACCAAGAACGGCCAGAGAATCAGAGCTGCCATGGCACTAGATCGCGGTTCTTTACCGAACTCAACGCTTGGTCAGCCAGGCTGCCGAGAACTTGAGCCAAAGAGGCTGCGGGCACGGGGCAGAAATGTTCGGCCACCTCCTCGTACTCTTGAGGCTCCAGGAAGTCATCGGAAGCCGAGCACTTTGCACTGACTAGCTTCCCTGAGCAGACAAACGAAACATTACACCATAAGCTTTGTTGGTTGTCCCCAACCCTCCTGTGTTAGGTTCTCGTCTGGGATAGAACACTGTGGTCCCCACCACCTCTCCCGTCTCCCGTTTCCGCCCTGCCTCCTCCTGCCTCCTTTTGCGCTGCTCCCTAGGTGGAGGTATCCGATGCCACGCTCCCCCGATAAGGGCAGCATCGCTCCTGGGCCTGGGCATCGATCGCACAGCGCTGGCGATGGCTGGGCTGTTGTGGATACGCGCCCAAGCGATAATTTAAGCGATTTGCAAAACGCAGATGTTCACAACTGGCGCTGAGCGCTGGCGATCGCACAGCGCGGGCGATCGCAGAGTCCACATCCGACGTGTAAAACACATTGTACAACATAATGCTCGGGGCCCCTGTGACCTCCAAGAAGGCTCCGGAACGCCCAAAGGACAACTTGTTCCCGGGCACCACCTTCCCCTGTGTTTCCACAGCGGCGTCCACGACGGTCTTGAGAGAAGCGCCTACGACGCCACCAGAGAGACGCTCCGACAACAGCCCAAGAGACCCCGAAGAGCCCTCCAGGAGGGACCCTTTCGACGGCGCTGGACAATCCCAAGAGACCTCCAAGACGCCTCTAAGACGGCCCATGAGACTTCGAAGGGGCCCCAAGACGGACCAAGATGCTCCTCAGACTGCGCAGGAGGCCCCCAAGAACCCCCAACGGCACTCAGAGAAGATGACGAAGAACGACCAAGAGGCATGCGAGGGCCTCCGAAAGTACCCAAGAGACCGACCTTCGCACAAACCTCGAGAAGGGTGCAACACTACTGTTTTCATGGCGTGGCTCTGTCACAAAGATCTTCCCGCTCTCCCTGTAGTTCTCATCGGAGGCATGTGGAGGCCCTTCTGGGGGTGACTTGGGGCATCCCTTTAGCGGTGTATATGTTTCCGCCAGCTCTCATCTTGGAGTATCCGTCTCGAGCTCTTCGGCCCTGGCTCTTCTGGCCATGACAAAAAATAGGAAAGAAGCCTGAGATGGCAAGGCCTGTCACATGTGGACAGGGGTTCCTAGCGCGCGGCTCTTCATCATGGCCTGTTTGTCAGCCATCAAGCCAAGCGTAGCTCAAGTCATCACGCCACGGCGCCCAGCACCACGAACAGCATGGCCGCAGCGCTCAGGCAAGCAGAGGAGACGCTCAGCGAGAGCTCAATGGTGGTGCTCACGGTTGTCTCCGTAACACTCGTAATGGTGGTGGTGTGCGGCGAGGTGGTCGTCTCCGTGACAGTGGTGGTGTGCGGTGAGGTCGTGGATGTACCCGTCGTGGCGGTAGTGCCGCTACTGCTGAGAGTCTGACTGGTACCAGACGTGTCACTCCAAGTCATTGTGCGGGTGCTGGTATGAGTGTCCGTCGAGGTTTGGGTCGTGGTAGTCTCGGCCATGTTGAGAGCCACACAAGCAGCGCCCCCAGCTCCGTCGTCTGAGTAGCACATCGAGGTGGCCTGCGCGGAAAGACCAACGAGCGAGAAATACTCAGTCTGGTCGTTGACCACATTCGCAGGCCCACACGAGAGCTCACCGCCGTCGACACTCAACACCTTGCACGTAGCAGGGCCAGCTTGGCCATTCACGTCTGCCAACTCTGTGTTGAGGTCGACGTAGCAGACGATTCCATTCTCATCACTGAGGGTCGCGACCTGCAACGATGACGCATCGCTATCGCTCACTATTGTATAATTTGCGTTGAGGACCAGCATCTCTGATACTACCTGGTACGTCTTGCAAGCGGCAAAATTACCATTGTCCTCGCTGTCAGTGAAGCAAACCATGCCGTAGTCACCAATCGTGTTGGTCGTGATGGAGCCGAAATCTGCCTCATCCGATTCGAAGAATGTGCTGGCCGTGCCAGGAACAGGAGCGCCGGTGTCGTCCAAGAGTACACAGCGGGCAGAACCTCCCTCGTTGTAGCACAGAACGGCCATTTCCTCCGCCTCCAGCGGCTCAATCGCAATATGAGACGCGCTCTGTCCGTCGGTGAAGCTCACCGGGTTGCCAGCATCCAGATCGGACCCGCTTAAACTCAACTTGCTGCACTTGCCCTCCGCCGCAATGGCACACCCAGCGCATGAGTAGCAAACCACCCCAGAAGTAGATGCCATCTTCGCGACAGCGACGTAGGTAGAGCCAATTGACTCGTTGTCGATCTCGACGGACTTCTCGAGCGCCAGATCAGTGTCAGCGATGGACACTAGATTGCAGATCACATGTTGTGTGACGC